CAAAACAAACCTGAATCCTCTATCCACATTCACATAATATTCGGAACAGTCTCTGACTAGTTAAGTAGAATCCTTTGTTTAGGAAAATAAAACAAATTTTGATAAAACTTGCTCAACAAAAACAATAACCATAAAACTATATTGTTTTTATATGAGAAATTAAGGTATTCTTTGCTTCTGAGGGAGTTGGCCAACAATATTCATATTTATTACTCAGTCTACTTAAATAAGACTGTAGACTCTCTGTGAGGCTGCTTTCCAGTCTATATTGACAGCATAATTTTTTGTAGCCTAGTTACTTCTCTATGTAGTTCTTTGGCTGTGTGTCTTTTCTGCTTGTGATTTTATCTTTTCTGCCTGTTTCTATCTTTCTATGTGTCTCCCTCTTGCTCTTTTTTCTTTCTTTCATCAATCACTCAACAAACATTTGTGTAATGCTACCATGTATCAGGCACTGTGCTAGGGATGGAAAACTCAAAGATAATTAGATCTGAGTCAAATTACTCACAAATAAGTTGCAGAGACAGATATATAAATAGTTAATAAAACATTATGGTAATGCAATGAGATAGATATACCTTGGCTACTGTGAGAACACTAGAAAGGGATGCCACTAGAAGGAGTCAGGAAACATTTCCGGAAGGAGATAACACCTAATGAAATCTAGAGTAAGTCTCAGCAGAACCTCTCAAAATTTAAATCACCTGTGAATCTTGTTTGAAAGATTTGGAGTCAAGAGATCTGGGTGGGACTTGAGACACTGCTTTTCTATCAAGCCCCAGATGGTGCCCATGCTGTTGGTCTGCAAAGGTCTTAAAAGATGGCAAATGACTAACTAAAAGTTGGGTGGAATGAATTTGGACAAGATAGACAGTATGAAGTATCACAGAGGTAAGAAACACTTGAGTGTGTGTTATGAGAATGAAGCACGTTAGCATCCCCAAGCAATTCAAAAGATTATCAGTTCCTAAAATGGAGATGGATGGGAATGCTGTACATATTAAGGTGAAAGAAATTTATTACATAGGCAATGGAGTACATCAAAATAAGTAGGGCAGTAACAACTTGCAGTTGGTAACAACAGTAACAATTTGCAGTTGGTAACAACTGCAAATCAGATCTGGTGGTTTCACTGGTAGAATCAAGGGCAAGAAGATAACATTCTAGGTGACATTAAATAAACCTGCTAACAATGATGACAAGGCAACTGACTTAAAAAAATGTTTAGGAGATAAATTGACTGTATTTTCACCTATTAATTTAAAAATCAGGAAAGTTGTTACTCCTTTGTATTCTTTGTAGGCCTGCTATCTATTCATCTGACACTCAGCAACATGTATGCTTAAGCAAGGCATTTAAAACTCTTTTCACACCAAGTTCCACATTTTAAAACAGTGAAGAGTTGATCCAAATAAACACTGTGGTCTCTTTACCCTAAATTTTATGGTCCCCTGAACTAAATTCATTTCTTATTGAATCATAGAATCATAATTTTTAAAATCTACCACAACAACTGGAATATAAATATACAGCATATAAATAATATTGACTCTGCCTAGAGAACAGGTATTAAAACTGGAGACTTTTTATATGTCCTACCTCTTCCTCACCCATGACATTCATTACTGAGTCCAGTTGCTTTGTACTTATATTTTATTGGTGATTCTTTGGATTATGTTCCTATGATTTTTAAATTGGATTCCCACACCTTAGGCGTTCCCTCTGGCTCCAATCTAATCTTCCCCCAAACACTATCTGAAAAATGGAAGAAGTCTGGAGTCAGAAAGCCCTGCAATTGAATACTAAAGCCCACTGCTTCTTAGCTGTGTGACTGTTAGTAAGTTATTTAACCTCTCTAACCCTGAATTTCCTTATCTGTAAATCATAGGGATGATATGGAGATAAAATGCTTGCAAAGGGCTTAGCACAATGCTGTTTCACCTAAGAACTCAGTAAATGCTAGTTATTATTTTGAAAGACAAATCTCATAAACACTTGAGCAGTACTTCACAAAAGAAGAAAATCAAATGGCCAATAAAAAATGAAAAGATGTTCTTCTTCATTAGTAATCAACGAAAAGCCAATTAATACTATTTTTTTAAGATTTTATTTATTTATTTGACAGAGAGAGATCACAAGTAGATGGAGAGGCAGGCAGAGAGAGAGAGAGGGAAGCAGGATCTCTGCCGAGCAGAGAACCTGCTGTGGGACTCGATCCCAGGACCCTGAGATCATGACCTGAGCCGAAGGCAGCGGCTTAACCCACTGAGCCACCCAGGCGCCCCCAATTAATACTTTTATGAGTACAATTACATATCCACTTGATTAGCAAAATTTAAGAACTTATAAATCAAATGTTGGGGGAGTATAGAATTTCTCTTATATTGCTGGTGAGAGTGTAAACTGATATAACTGCTTGGGGACAATATTCTGGCATTACCTAGAAAAACTAAATGTGCACACACCCCCAAATTCAGTACTTCCTTTCCTCAATATTTATCCAAAAGAAGCCCTTACACATGTCTATTAGAATCTGCAAGCAACTATATATATATAACTTAATAACTTTATTATAAATGTATTTATAATTATAATAAATATCTTTATAATATTTAACAAATATATTTACATAAATTATTTATTTTTATATGTAAATAACTCAGTTCATGCACACATACTAGCAAAATAATGTAGAAACAACCCAAATATTCACCAACTGTAAAATGGAAAAGTAAATTTAGTATATTCACGGAGTAGAATACTATACAACAATTATATGAATAAACTATATTATATGACTAAACTACAATTATATGAATAAACTATATTAATTTCCATTATATATATTATTATATTAATTTCCATTAATATGGAAAATCTTACAATGTTTAGCAAAATCAGTTGATTAACAATATATATTATATATATATATTACACAAACCAAATTCAATTATATATATCATATATACATATACTATGACTGGAAAATGGAAAGCCTACAAAGAAAAGCAAGGGAACAAGGAACAGATATGACAAAAGGTAGGATAGCAGTAAGTGGTCATCCCTAGTGGGGAAGAAAAAGTATGTGATTCTAAAGGAGAACATAGGGATTTACTGGGAATTTATTCCTCAATATGAATGGCAGTTAAATGAGGTTTGCTTTGTAATTGTTCTTTAAACCATATTTGCCTTATACACTTTGCTAAGTCTATGATATATTTCACAATTAAATAATAAACCTGATCATGTCATTCTCCTACTTAATCTTTTAAAAGTTCTTCATTTTGGAATAAAATTCAAATTTTTTATCTTTAAGAGATCCTTCATGGTATATCTCCTGTACCCTCTTCAGCTTCATTTCCACCACCACCATTTATGCCCTAACACAGTAAATGACACATAGAACTCGCAAAAAATCATACTCTGCCAAGCATCTGGACCCTTGGAGAATATTCCCCCTGCTCCCTTTCCTCTGGTTATTTTTTTATTATCCTTAACTTTCAGTTAACATACCACTCCCTTTGGAAAGTCTGCCTTGACAACTCCCCATGCCATCTGTATTAGCCTCTCCTCTGCTGCACTTCCTTTAACACCCCAAGTCTACCCATGGAACACTCTGTGTAAGGAACACACTCTTTGAATAAATCACCCCACTTAAGGGCACATTTTATCATAAGCACCATTTTAGACTGAAAGCTCCTTTAAGGCAGGTACTATCTCTTTCAACTATCACAAGAGTTAAGGATAATATCTACATCACAGATTTTCAACAAATGTTTGCTTAATGAATAAATGTCTAAGATGGGGCAATATATGTTTTCTACATCACTGGAAGGGGTGCATTACCCAAAATATCACATTCAGCCATATAAAATTGACCTTACTTTAGATCCACGATGGTTGGTTATTGGCAACATGTTATTCTCTTTCATAACAAACATGCATTTAATACATGTTGATTAATCACAGCACAGTGATGACTATTATATATATTTTCTCAATATCCACTATAAGCAGACTGTAATGAAAATCATGAGGTGAAATAAGTATAGGGTTAATTTTAACAGTCTTCTGCAGTTATAGTTCATGCATTAATTCACAAGACAGCCTACCTACCCAGTGTTATATGAGCCACTAAGCAAACGAAAGAAATATATTGATCACTAGTACAAAACAGCTTCTTCTGGAGTCTTACAAGCACCACTGTCATGCACTATTTCTCAAAAAAGTTATTTGACAGATTATGATTGGTTCATCTATGCTGGAGTCTGTTGATTATTGACTTTGGTGACTATAAAGCATCAAGTATTTGATTAAAAAAAATTCTGCCTGTGTGTGCTGATATTTTTATAAAATAGTAAGTTTTCAAAATTATCGCAACTAAGAGAGAAACTAGATCTACTTTTAATATTATTGTATTAAGCAAAAAGATTTGTAGGGTAAATGTCTATGAATTGAATTTTATAAAACTGTGCTATGATTTCTCTCGCCTTATTTTCAAGGATGTAAATGTTATATTGATATATATATTATATACATTCTTTATATACTCCTATATATTTACATATATACACATTTATATGTGTCTTCCCAAAAGGTATTGAGCATTATAATTTAGCTCAGAACGAATTCTTCTACCAGAGGGGATGAATTGGTAAAATATAGAATTATGTCATAAATTTAAAAAGCCACTGAAAAACACTGTTACCGGCTGTTACTCAGGCACATGAAATTGTTCATTAGGGCTGTCTTACCGGACTGGTATCATGGAGTGTGGTAGCACTGTGGTGTTTTACAACACACCCATGCACCGCGAGACTTCATGCTGCTCTATGTGGCACCAGCAGTTAAACATTCTGTCCTGTTGATTTTCACTTCTTTAGTTGAAATTATTTAGAACAGTATTTCTTCAGATCCATACTAAATCCCATGCAATATTTAAAGTGGTTATGGGGATCACATGTTTTCTGCTAAGGAACATTTTTAAATTTGTGACTCACCACTGCTTGTATGGTTTCTCATCTATAGGAAATTGTTCTAATTCAACAGCTTCTTGCATGAGTTGCCATAATGAAGATCTGAGATGGTCCTGTTGTTGGTGTTCCTCACGCTAGCCTAAAATCGAAGCAAAAACACAAAATGAATTTGATCTTAACACTTAAATGGGAATCTCATCTGCATTTAGGAAACCAAAAGACTGACAAAGGCAACTGGAAATGAGTGATGGGACACAGGATGAGGGAATAAAACACCTGAAGGTAGTTCACTCTGTCCAAATGTATTACAAGCACAAGAACTTTGGTGTTACCAACACCAGAGTAGCTGGATATTTTAAAATCTGAACATAAGCCCAATTAATAATTATTACTTTAGTTGACATGGTATTTGGCTCTGTGATATGGATTTGGTTTTGAGATACAAGGCACCCTACTCAGCTTCAACTGGGACAGCTCCACTGTCCCAGTTTATACAGTCTGCTTTTTAAATGTTTATACAGTCTGCTTTTCATGCAAGATTTCATTGGAATGATGGGTTTCATACCTACCAACTAAAAGAGGAGGAGAAGTTCACAAACCTCTGAAGTATGTGAAATAGAATAAAACTAAACTGAAGTTGTTCTGAAGCTGGAAACAGACCTGTATGTATGCTTTCCCATAATCTGATCTAGTTACAAAAATAGGTTTGTAACTTCAATCTGTTACTGTTCCTTTTTGAGATTATATTGGACCAGATTCTCCAAGATTTGCCAGTTTCCAATGCCCTACCCATTATCAAACCATAAGTTTTGATTTCTAGAACTTTGGAAAGTATGTTCATCAGACCAAAAATAAACCTCCTCTCTGCTCCAAATAAGAGTCCCTTTCCTGGTCAGGTGCTTACAATTTACTACTACGAATTCTTTCCCCACTATGTCCCCAGACATCTCAATGTAGCCTCCAATGTCACGTGTATTTCGTTCTCCTCTGAATTCCTGTTCTATTTCTTGTCAAATTACTAATAGAGCCCTTGATTATATACCATCTTTATTTAACCTCATCTCCCCAAATGGCTCCGAACTCTTCCTTCCTTTGCACTTAGCAGAGATCTGTACACGGAAGACATTCATCCAAGTAATATTTATTGTGTCCCAATAATGTGCCAAACAGACACAGTCAGTACCTGAGAGATTATACTTTCGTAGAAAACACAGGAAACAGGAAGAGGCCATTACTGTATTGTGTGATAAGTGCTAGGAAGGCAGAAGTATAGACACTGAAAAACCTTGCCGGATAAATGGGCCTGAGAGCTCTCACTACACTATCAGTGCTTTCAGATCTTCTGTGAGAAGAGGACAGTTACTTGAAGAAACTCATTTTCAGGAAGCACATGGAGGACCCAGGCAGGTTAACATCCAAAATCCAGGAGGCAGTTTTACTTCTAGGAAGAGAAGTCACTAAAAAGAATTTCTAGTATTTTTTAAGTCACTGCTGGGTGGTAGCATCTTTTTCCTGTTTTCTACAACACACACACACACACACACACACACACACACACACACACACACACACACACACAGTAGCAAAAATCCTGTTTATTACTGAGGAGGCCAGTCTGCAAATGCCTGATGGCTCTATAGGGGAACTTCACCTTACACCTGTACACCATATGGGATTTCAGAGCGACTGTGGGTTAGGAATGCTTCTAAGGAAACTTCAGCCATCTTTTTTTCCATTCAAAACTTTAATTTCCATTCCTAGGAGCATTAGTTCTATAAGCCTATGGCTTTCGCATCTCAGAGATAAGAACAGTGAGAAAGGCCATAGTGGCTTATTATGGATCCAAAACATCAATTCAACTAGAAAAATTCTTTATCAAAAATAAGTATAGGGTGCCTGGGTGGCTCAGTGGGTTAAACCTCTGCCTTCAGTTCAAGTCATGGTCTCAAGGTCCTGGGATCGAGGCCCTCATCAGGCTCTCTGCTCAGCAGGGAGCTTGCTTCCCCCTCTCTCAGTGCCTGCCTCTCTGCCTACTTGTGATCTCTCTCTCTCTGTCAAATAAATAAATAAAATCTTTAAAAAAGAAAAAAAATAAATATAAATTTGTAGTTTACTTCTCATACCAAAAAGGGTCTTTGGTTTAAGGATTTTCAATATTACCTGAGCTCTCCATTTGGAGTTTCTACCAAGATTCATGATAAGAAATGGGGAGAGAGAGGTAGGATAATACTTAAAACTACAGATTTTTCACTTTCCCCCTCTTTGCCTTGATTTTCTCTTAAGGATAAAACGCACTCAAACTGAAAAATCTTTAGTCAAAACCTTACAACTTTGCTATGAAAACAGGTACTATATATAGGTAAATTTCTAAAATTCAAGCTCCAATTCTCAATTGCATTTTCTCTTTCAAAAAGAAATGATCAATATGCAGCATGATCTTTTATCTGAATCAGCAGCAGTGTCTCATCTCAGACTTATATAATGCAATAAATATGTTTAATATACTAAAGAAATAAATGGATCTTGTTCTTCTTTACCAATAAGCACTCCCCCAGTAGTCTACAGGCCCAACTTTATGCAAGTCAGTGGTCCTCAGAAGAAGGTGTGAGAGATGCAAGTGTAGTAGGGAGGAAATACTCTGCCTGCAGCAAATACAGCATTGTACTCCTTTCTGTCATTCCTGGACACTTTGTGCTTCTTTTTGCTTAAGTGTTGCAATGTCCAACCAAAAGCTTAAAGGACACTGCAAAAGGAAATAGTAAAGGCAACGGAGAAAGAATTTTAAGTGTCAGTTTGTTTACTTCTTCTAATTGAAGGAAGGCTCCCTTGCTTTGAGACCCATTATTCTCACAAGTAACTAAGCAATCATTCGATTTGTACACACAAATTCCATGCAAAGTCTTTTAGCTGCAAATGTGACCTGAAGCCAGAATGAGAACAGTAAGGGAGAGCATCTGCCCCCATGTTTAACAAACAAGAAAGCCCCCAATGTGTCTTTATTTTTATCATCAGTATTAAAAGACTTTTTCATTAAGATTACATCCAAAGACATAAATTCATTTACATAAAGCTACAATCAAGCTTTAAAAAAAAAAGACTTTAAATATGGGATGCTTTACCTTTAACCATGGGAGGCTTTTTCACATTACTGAGGTTAGGCAGATCCCTTTTGCTTATGATATTCCTATGAGATATATTAACCAGGGAAATCTTATGAATTTTCCTGCAACTTAAAAATATACATTTATTTTTAGCATCCACAATCAAGTCTCAGTTCATTCTAACCTTGAAAACCGCTGGCCATGTCCCATGAAACCATTAAATACTAATAGGTAGACATACCAGACAATGACAGCAAAACACACTGGGTCCCTCTGGGATCTGTTCACAAACATCCCCTTCGAGCATGACAAACACACTCCTCCCAACAGCAGATGCTGTTCTGGGACAAGCAAGCAGGAAGCTGGAGGCAGCTGATTTTTCCACTCTACATATGCTTTCTTACTGCCTCATCATCAAGAATTTTTTTTAACCAGTACTGCAAGGATTCTGTAACACCAGGAGCTCATCAAATTAAAGCTACTCTACAACAGGAGGGAGTGATGTGCAGATGAGGAAGCAGGGAGACTGTTTCATATCTAAGGTCATACCACCTTTGTCATCTGATTTGCTGTAGTTCCGTTGTGGCGAAGAGAAAATCCAGTTTGCTCTGTGTAATAAAATAAGCTAACCCAGTACTCTGTGTCCATTAAGAGTGAGATGGAGGCAGGAAACGGAATACATGCCAAAGGCAGGAAAACTGCTCCTTCGAGCGGTCTGGCCCCTAAAATCCAATGGTTCCGAAGTAGAGTCAGAAGGTCGTGAGCTCATTCTTGAGCGTCGCTATCTGTACTGACAACATATAGGCTCACCTAAGGTAGAACATGTACAGAAGCCTCTCTGAGAGAAGTGGTCATTCCTGCAACCATTTTTGATATGTTGATCAGCATTCTGTGAGATCCTCCAGGGTCTGACAGCTAGCAGACGATGGATAGAGGGAGAAATCAGACCGTGGGCTAGCACTGCTGAGTGCACTTATTTTCCTTGCCTCTGAACTGTGTTCTGTCCCATGACTTAGCCTGCCTCTTTCTGGTTCGTTCATAAAAGTTGCCGTCAAACCCCCAGCAGCACGTAGGGCTGCTGCACAGACCCTGGAGGGCTCTGCAGCAAAGACAGCCCATGTAAACAGCCTTGTGATTCCTTCGGAGCCTCCTGCCATGGGATAAGCCATTCTTTTTCTACAGCTAAAAGGCAGTACCCAGGGAAGTTAAGTGTCAGAAGGTAAAAACAGAGACAGACTCTAGATTTAAACGTGGAGGGGGAAAAAAAATACATATATAATTTTTCTTGAACAATCTCTAACCTTGAATGTACTCAAAGATTTTCTAATAAATCGCATTTATTTTGCTGCAGGCACAAAAGCATAAATTCTGGTAAGTATATTGCCATGCTCGTTTCTGATATTTTTTTCCCAAAAGAGATCTGACATTTCTAGGGGACACAGTATCCCAGCACAGAATATGGGAACCCTGCCATTAAAAAAAAAAAAAAAAAAAAAATGCTGCCTGCTGTGACTAGGAGATCACTTTCTTAAAGGGACCCCTTACCTATGCTACTGCAATGCCAATGTTTCTTCTAATCTCTTACCTGACCCCTGTCCTGTGTTCCTCTCCCTGGCCTGAATTTAGCCTAGAATGTCTCTGCAAGAGTAATGTCATTAGTTTTGCAACTAAGATATATAAATACCATTCTCTACTATAAATAAATATGATCCAAAATATTTATTTAAATTACACCTCTCAGGAAGTAAACATAAATGCATACTTAATGACGTGATTTTTTAATGTTTTATGGAACCTAGAGCATTTCTTAGATATAGGACTGAGGTCAGCACTTCTAACAAGCACAGCTGTTCGCTGTCTCTCTGTCTCTTTCTCTCTCTCTCTCTCTCTCCCCCCACTCTCTCCCTCTCCCCCCGCTGTTTTTCTCTTCCCTTCTTCTGTAGCTCTGCATTGGTCTAAAAACCCCTGGTCACAATAAGAAAGCTCCCTCCCACCCTCTGCCAACCCTCACTCCAAACACGAAGGTTTCCACACGCCC